TTTCTTTTTTTACTACTTTGATCATTGGATCCAAAAGCGTATGGTCGTTATGATTCGATAGCCCTATCAATGGGAGAGGACTGTTGATAGCTTAAGTGCCTATTCTCCTCAAGGAACTAGTACAGCAATTGAGAATGTCTTATAGCGTAAGATACTCGTAAGATTTCTACATTAACAATTTTATTTATGCACTAATGTAATTTCTAGATTTAGATAACTCTTTATACTTAATTATTTATATTGTTATGGATATAATTTAAATTTTTATGTAATATTATAAGATATTTTTCCATCTAAACTATAAATGCCGTAATATAGAAATTCATATATAATTTTAATTTTATTTATTTAATATTGTCTCTATTTCCTATAAAAAAAAAAAAAAAAAAACTATATGTCCACAAATTGGGAGAGTGTACTGACTTGAATATTGGCGGTTGAATGGTATGAAATGGTGAAGTCGAGGGTGACATTGATATGGCCAACTGTGGTGGTGTGAATGGCGGCGCCTGCTACACAGTCAATTAAGGCCGCCATGGCTCCAACCTGCCAATTCCCATCTGAATCCTGTAGTGTTCCCACCACCAATTAATTTAAAACTCAACAGGAAGATGATTGAATAAATAACCCCCAAAAAAAAAAAAAAAGGTGGGGTAATTGAGGATTACCGAAACTATACTTGGTACGGTGAAATTACAGCGGATGAGTCCCTTTTGGACGTTGACAATCTGGAGGCCTTCCATCGTTATTGCTTCCAGCTTACTTGTGGTGTTGCCCTCTGATATTTTCTTCAGCCATTCCAACGGGGCCAGCCATTCTAGGGGGATTTGCCGGGACTTATCTTCCATTAGCTGATCCTTTCTCTCCTCCAAGGTCTACGCATACATCTTGTTATATGTATTAGTAGTTGGTTTGGAGGCATGTTTCATGAATCTTAATGGGGATTGTAATGAAGATAGACCTCCCCCGTATATATCTGACCTTATAAAAATAAATATTGAAAGTATTTTAAAGTTACGTTTAAGTTATTTATTATGAAAATCAGTTTTATTTTACCCAAGATTAGAAACTTACTCATAAAAAATAGAAACTTTGAAAGAAAATAATAGAAAAACAGAAGCTTCGTACCAAACTACCAACGACTCATGTGGCACATTTTACGAACAGTCTCTTCTGACGAGTGAAACCAAGACTTCATTAGTGTTTTTTTTTTTTTTTATAAAAGAAATATAATATTAAATTAATATCTGTTTAAGAAAAGTTGAATCCAAAACTTAATCAGAAGATCAAAACACGTTCTACTTTTTTCTCACTTTGAAGAAGCATAGTCGCCATTACGATCACATAGGAAAATATTAGACTTCATTAGTTTAAGTTGTATGTATATAGGTGGAGGGAGTATATGTAACAAAGAAAGAAAAGCTTGTCTCCCATTATCTAAGCCAGTTGGATTATTTAATAGAGTGATGTATACATTTTCTAATGTATAATCACATTAGATATAGGAGTGTCATAGTAATCTAATTATCTAGAAATAAAGGAGAATATATATATATAGAGGAATGATTTATTTATATGTAGTAAGTTTTATATGTGACACTTATATAAAATTTTAATTATTTATTTTATATATAATTTTAATTTTATTTATTTAATACTAT